TTTAAACAGAGGCTGCCACAGGGACCCGAACTTCAATAAGCAAGCTATTATGTTAATCGCTCTCTGTAGCTGAAGGCCGTAACTGCACTTGAGAAATACGGTTAATATAACTTATTACGGATAAAATTTATAGCCTAGGACTGAGCTAGTTATGTCTTCTCTATAAATAACAGTAGCCTATAAAGTTAAGCTATAAGCTATAAATATAAATAATATAATCTTTCTTAAAGTTATTTAATAACTATTAAAGGTTTTATTAATTAAGTTACTTAAATTAAATTAAAAAGTTAAAGTATTAATACTTTTACTAAGGTAAGTTATATCTAGGTAACTAGAAGCTTTAATAGCTAAGAGAATATAAAGTTAATTAAGTTTATAAGATTAATATATAATAATTTTAAACACGATGCTTATTATAAGATAAGGTGTCTCTGGACCATGTCCCGTCACCTCCAATGTAATCTATCTGGCCCTGGCGGTGCTCTAGTGTACTTAACCACGTATCTCGGAGCCGCCTCATAGCTTTGTGCAGACCCCAGCAAACAGATCCGTCTGAGAACCCTTCATCCCTTATCGACTCATACACATTCTGTGATATCTCAACACATGACTTATCGCTGACTTCCCAGAGTGTACCGACTACATGCCGAAATCCCGCTAATTGGCATGCGCTGATGAGGTGGATGCTCTCGTCAAAGAAAGCGTTCCCTCCAATCTGACCTGTCCCGCAAGCTGAAAGATATGCCAAGAATGGTGCGTTTTCCCGAAGATTGATGTCCATAAGTTCAGGTACTTTCAATAAGCCATCACTGAGAAGCAGCCCACTTTGAGAAGGATTGCCATCCGTCTTACCATGGCCAGCAAAGTGAAAGATCTTGCAATTTTGAAGTTCGTCCAAAATCGCTTGTTTGTGCTGGTCAGCAACGCAAGACTGGAGGTTCATTGACTTGCAGAGCTTGGCAATACCCGATACCTCTTCTTTGACGAAGGGAAGCTTGATTTGTTCAGTAGTATCTTCCATAGTTACTAAAACAGCTTTGTCCTGGGTGGGATCTGAGCGAAGCTTTCGGCCATTGATAAGTGCTTGAATCGATGAACTGTACGATGAGATGACTCTATCCAGCACTGTTTCGGTCGATCCTGGATAATGATGTCCAAAGGCGTGGAAAGGGAGTCTACTCAGTCTACCAGTTGGGATCCACCAGATGTGAGGCCAGTCATCGCCTGACCGGTGGTTCGAAATACCTAGGGCCTGCAGAATAGGGCCAGCAACTACATCCCAAAGCCATTCCAGCATGGAAGGGCTCGTCAATGAACCTTGGCTCTCTTTCTCATTCATTTTGTCCATGGTCAAATTAGGTAACGGTAAGGACCTGATTTGATGTTGTTCGACAAGGATGGCGTCGCAGCGAAACTTGCTTAGGTTGATAACTATGATAGGTCCTAGACTGGCTGCGGCTCGAATTTCATCCTCACTTGGTGATTCCAGGAAGTCACTGAATCCCGGATGTTTGCGAATCTCAATAATGAGGCTCTCTAATTCGGTGCTTGCCTCGCCTCGGCGATTTGCGATTGCCTGTGCTGAAGCCGAGTCGACACTCCGAATTGGCGCATCAAGCACCTGACTGAGTTCCTGAAATCGTCTAGCCAGTTCAGGGTGGACATCTTCGAGGTCGAGAACATCAACGCGGATCTGTTGAATTGCCGCAGCAAGTACTCCGCGACCCCTTTCAAGTACGCTTAGTGCAAAAAAGGGTTCCTTGCCAGCGTGAAGTGCCACTGCTGCGGTATCGCAAGCAAGGTCTACTATTCGGCCCAACATACGCTGCTTGTCGGCGAAGCCGAGGGACCTCGGTGTCAGTTGAGGCAGTAAATCGAAGGTTGCTTGAGAAGCATAAAGAGCATGCTGCCAACGAGAAGTGTGTGCAAATGTCTCAAAGAGAGCCTTTCCAGCAGCGATTCCTGTCTGGATGTTGGAATTGGAGTGATCCAGAGCAGACCGATAGAGATTTACGGCAGCATCAAAGTCATCCATACAGTTATTCAAGGTGTGGCGATTCCAATAACAGTCTGCGAGATTGCTCATGTACTGAGCTAGACTGGGGTTTCCTGGTTGAGCGACAGCAATGGATTGGTGCCCCATCTTGATAGCCTCTTCAACATCACTCGTTTCTCGGTTTCGTACGTACCGCTTAGCGAGCCAGATGGAGAGGTTGCTCGAAAGACTTGAGATATCTGCGTGTCCTAGTGGCAGGGTGGTCAATGCCTCTTGTCCGAGTTGAATTGCTTCATCAAGGTCATTCGTGTTGCCTGTCCTGAGGTAGCGGTCTCCAAGATGACCAGCAAAGTTGGACTTGAAGAGAGCTTGATCGGATGAGCCCTCAGCAGCAGCTTCGGTGATACCACGACATATGTCAATAACTCTGTTGAGCTCTGCAAGAATCCCGGTTCTTCCATATCGTTCGTGTAGCTGGTTTGCAAGAGTATTAAGTCGCCTTGGTCTCCTCGGACTATCGAGCGGATCCAAGTCCACGGCTGGCTGGGCTACTTCTATCGCCTCTTCAAGATCTATAGAAGATCCTGTTCTCTCGTAGCGCTCCCCAAGGTGATTTGCCAAGTGAGTCAGCCGGAAGGCTTTACCATCTGAGTCAGCTGCCACATCGATTGCATGCCGTGTGACTTGAATAGCTCGTTCGAGATCAGGTAGTGATCCAATTTGAGCGAATCGGATCGACAAGTAAACACCGAGGCTGTCCAGGAGAGCGCCTCGATGGATGTAATCATTCGGAGCGGTATCGATTGCTTCTTGCCCGACCTTGATTGAATCTTCGAGATCAGTGAGTACCCCAGTAACGCTGAAGCGGCGGCGTAGAGTGTTTCCCAGCTCGTGAAGCCAGATGATGCGATCGGGCTCGTCTGGTGGTGCTACCTCCACAACTTCCCGAGCTATGTCGATGAAGGAATCGAGCTCATCGATCAATGATTTACTCTCGCCTTGCTCTGACATGGTGATGGATTTTCGGTTGCCTTTGGCTATGTGTAGACAATGGTCTTGATGTGGGGCTAACAACAACGGGATCGAAGGCGCAAGAGATCTGTCAAGTAAGGACTTGTGATGCCTAAAGCGCGATGTTGGCAAACGATCTCACGCTTACGCACTCATGCTGCCTCCTCTGCATATTTGTGGCTTATCTTTCACCACTCACAGACAATGGTAAAATCAGGCTGTAGGCAGCCTTGCCAAGCTTCTCTTGGGGAATGATGACTTGCATCTCGGAGTAATGCAGCCCGAAGGCCAATCTTTTTCCCGCTAGAGACTACCATTCGAAGGTCTGGTATGTAGTGATACGGAATTGAGGCTATACGGAGCTTGGGTAAGCAACCCATTAGATTTCACGTTGAGACAGCATGTCGGGCCTCCTGTCCAGGTACGTACACCCGCAAATATCCTCCCCGCATCTCCACCGATTGACTCTAAACTCTAAATTATCCCACCGGGAGTGTTTATAAATCATCCACTACCAGTAGAAAGCTCTACCGCCTTCGCGATAGAGACGTCATGAATGGTAGATCACTCTGGTGGCATGTTCTGCCACGAGATATTGTATGGTGAATCCGAACAGGGTTTTGCTGCCAGTTCTGTGAATAAGGCACGGCAATTCCAGATGCTCAATAGCCGACTTCATGCAGGCAATATTGACTCTTATCTTGTTCTTGAGATCTGGTGACCCAAACGCAGGTACTTATCCCTCAGCTAAGCTAAAACAAACATAGTTCATGTGGGATCCCATTAGTAGCCTCGGTTGGGGAACTTGGGGAAGAGATCTTCCCCTCCGACTTGACTTCTTCAAGAATGATCTCCGCATTTCAAAGTCCCGCATCAACTGCCGAACTCTCATCCGGTACTTTGTTCATGTTTGGAATCAAGTGGGTTATCTCAATATTTAATTTGAGCTTCGGTGTCTGTAAGTCACAAGTACCATCTCATTTTCTTGCCAAAGCTCATTCTAACACTCAGCTTTTGATAGCCAAAATGGAAGAGTTCACTTCATTTGTCAATACCGTAAACGGAACTTCCGTCACTGGAAAAGTGACACAGGGAACAGATCCATCAACAAGACAAAAGCTCTGGGATGTCCCAGTTGCATCGTCCGACGACATCGAGAACGCAGTTTCTGCAGCCAAAACTGCCTTCACACAGTGGTCAAAGACATCGTGGTCGGAGCGACAGAATGCCCTCCTTGATGCTCGAGATGTCCTGATCTATCATAAGCCTGCATTGGCACAGTTGATAACAAAGGAAGGAGGAAAGCCTGTAAGTGGCACCGTGACTTGAGCGAGCTCGGCGGTTCTGACCCTTGCAGATTCAGTTTGCCACCATGGAAGTTGAGCATTCGATCAACTTCTTACAATTTAATGGTAAGTCAAGTCGTCGCTAAAGAAAATGCCGACCTAACAAAGTACAGCGAACCAGGAGCCACTTCAAGAGCAAGTGATCCAAGATGACGACGAACTACGATTAACGATCCGAGAGAAGCCACTAGGTGTCATCGCCGCTATCTGTCCCTGGAATTATCCCCTCGTCCTCTCTATCGCCAAGGTCGCCGCAGCCCTTATAACTGGAAACACGATCATCGTAAAGCCTTCGCCATTTACGCCCTACTCCATCTTGAAGGTCGTCGAACTACTCCAAGGAGTTTTCCCAGCCGGCGTTCTCCAAGCCCTCAACGGCGACGATAAGCTGGGACCTACATTATGTCAACATCCTGGCGTCGACAAGATCACATTTACCGGCTCAACTGCGACAGGAAAGAAGATCGCGCAGGTGGCTGGAAATCTTCTAAAGCCCGTCACATTAGAGCTTGGAGGCAACAGCGCGAGTATTGTTTGTCCAGATGTCGATCCGAAAATCGTGGCACCACAAGTGGCGATCGGGTCTTTCATGAACTCAGGTCAACTTTGCGTTGCTAGCAAACGTGTTTTTGTCCACGAAGATATCTACGACGAGTTCCTGGAGACAATGGTCAATACAGTCAAGGAATGGAAGGTTGCGCCCACGTCAACACTCGAGCCCGGCATTATGCTGGGTCCGATTCAGAACGAGATGCAGTATAATATTGTGAAGGGCTTCTTCCAAGATTCAATCGAGAACGGGCACTGTTTCGCGCTGGGCGAGAAGCCAAATGACACTGGAGACAGCTTCGTCATCAAGCCTGCCATTATCGACAATCCTCCCGATGACGCCCTCGTCGTTACACATGAAGCCTTCGGTAAGACTTGCAACCCCAATCATTTCGATAAGTTATTAATAGTTTCACAGGCCCTATTGTTCCACTGATGAAGTGGAAGACTGAAGACGAGGTTATCAAGCGAGCCAATAACACACTATCTGGTCTCGGAGGAGCTGTCTGGTCAAAGGACGTTGATCATGCCCAGCGGTTAGCAGACCGCATCGAGGCTGGCACTATTTGGATCAATAGCTTTGAGAAGCCTCTACCTCAAGCGCATCTTGCTGGTCATAAGGAGAGTGGTGTTGGTGGAGAATGGGGTCGACGGGGACTGAGTGTGTATTGCCAGCCTCAGGTGATTCATTGTTACAAGTCCAAAGTATAAACATGTGCTGCCAACAGATCTTGTAACTCATTATTTATGTCTATAGATTTATTCACCGCTTGTGAACTGATGTATCTCGAAACTGTCTTGTATTGGTAATTCTCAAACTCATGCGTCTGTTTACATGACCATTTTGAACTCTGGGTCTCGATCATCTCCGTAACCAGTAAATTGGTTGTGCTTTCCGTTCTTCTTGTCTCGGTTGGTCTTTGCACACCAAAGTACATTGAGAAAAACACTGTGAGGCCAATGAGTTAGATAATGTGCATGTACAACAGCCAGTTATTGGATACACTTACGCGACCCACGCATAGCATAGCAACCCTAAGATTACTCTGTGTCCTCTATGGTATAGCGGACCATCCTTCGAAGGATAAACGAAACCTATGACAGAGGTTAGATCCCATGATTGACGATCTACCTTCAGCAGGTATGATGGAGGGAAGTCTTACTGGCAACGAAGCCACCACAGTTTGCTACAGCCAGCTGCAACGCAGAGGTAGTAGCTCTCTTGTAGTGGCCGGCTGAGTTGTTCGAGTTCCAGACCAAGATGCAGGGGACAGAAGCGTACATGCCCAAGGCCATCAAACACGTCATCGCGAACCGAGTGTTGGCTGCCTGTACGTTTGCAATAACGGCGTAGCCAACAATGGCGATTGGCAAAACGACAAGAATGATGAGACCGCGGACTTTTGTTCGATCGGATATAAACGCAACGAGAACTGAAGGCAGACGCAGGTTAGTTGGGGGCTATGAGAGCGGATGTACTTCACTTACCTGTAACGGGGGTAGCGACTGCGTATGGAATTACACTCCAGAGTTGAGCCTGGTTGGCGCTTGATGCAATGTGGAGGTCGTTGACAATGGTCGGAAGCTAGAACATTCAGTCATGTACAATCAGATGGAGACAATGATACATACGAAGAGGCCGAATGAGTAAAGACCGGCGAGAATTGCAAAGTAAGCAGTAGATGTAAGCCAAACTTGGACATTGAAGACTCCACGGCGCACTTCACCCCAGCTGAACTTCTCGTCTAGCTCTGATGCCATGCTATAAAAGGCCGTCAAATCAGCTGGTCATCAAGATGTCACGAGAACTTACGTTGTACCGCGGTCTTGTTCCAGACGCTTCACGGCCCATTCTCTCTCCTCTGGTGTAAAATATCGTGCGGTTGTTAGGTTGTTTGGTAGGGTGAAGAACACGATCGATCCAGCAGCGACAGTCTATGATAATGTTAATTCGAAGTCCTAAAAGTTGTGGAAACCAAGACCAACCATTAGTCCCTCAATGATCAGAATCCATCGCCAACCTTCCAAGCCACCTCGTGGCCCGATGGCAGCAAGTCCACGAGCAAGCAAGCCTTTATGGTGTCAGGTAAGCAAATTAGGTTGACCACCCCAGATAACTCACCTCCAAAGGCTCCAGAAAGCGATGCTGCCGTGTAAAAGATGCCAATTCGCAGTGCCAGTTCACCGCGTGTGTATATGCTGGAGAGATAGAGGACCATTCCAGGTAGTAAACCACCTTCTGCGACACCCAATAAGGCTCGTACAGCTGCGAAGCTAGCGAAGTTGCTCACGAAACCAAGACACATGGTGATGATTCCCCAGACCACTGTCAGAGTGGGCAGCCAGATCCTGGGCGACACCTTCTTGAGGACCAGATTACTGGGCAGCTCACTGAAGACGTAGGTGGCGTAGAAGACGGCCAGGCCTTGAGAGTACTGTAGGTTGGTGAGACCTAGATCTTTCTCCATGCCGATAATTTTCGCGTTGCCGACATTCGTCCTGTCGAGAAAGGAGCACAGAAACAACAGTGCAAGGGATGGTAGTACTCTAGGTAACGTGATCAGTTGGTGACGCGCCCGATGACGGATGATGAATGGATAAACTTACCGCGTGTCTGTCTTGAACAAAACTCTCCTGGTGAGACGCGCATTGTGCTCAACGTTCTGTTCGGGATGGTCCATCTCCTCGTGCTCAGCCTTAAAGTCCATATTGAGCTGTTTGATTCAAATAAGACTATGAAGGCTTATTAAGCTTGGCGTTATGCATATGGCAGCAACAGCATGGACTTGGCATCAATTATTTAAATGTTTTCCCCAGACTCCAGGTTTGCGGGGAATTACAGGCGAGCGGACCCCATGGTTTGGTCTAACCCGAACTTGTGGGGGATCATCCTTGTTAGAGGTGCCGGTATTCCGAGATGATTTTCGGCATCCAATAGTAGCACCGCCAAGAAGAGTGCTGCTACCCTTCACTGTAGATACGTAAGCGGGCTAGACCTCTATAGATGACGGTCTGGTAGGGTCGTGACTATGACGTTTCCCCTTCCCGGGCCCAAAAGTAGAGCCGTCATTTGGAGTGCTGCTACCCTGACCGAGTAAGTACACTGGAGCTACGGTTTATGCAGACGCCCATTTGATATGGAGGAATGGCATTGCGATTGGTATTCACCTTCACGGCGTCCAAAATTGGCGCCGTTGGGTAATGACCAGAGATTCTGTTTTCCAGAGGCTGACAAATAGATTGGTTGTAGTTGAGAAAAGGCCCTTTCAATATTGATAGTACGGCGGTAGAAACTGTAAAATGCAGAGACTGCACTCTAAAGCATACAAAGAGTAACGACTGTAGAGAAAGACAAACAAACAAAAGACCTCCATCCACATCAGTTATCAGCAGCCATCGACAGTGATCCTACTTATCCCACAGCAATGTAAAAAGACCCGAAAGCTCCGCCGCATGACTTCTGATGGATAAAGCCCCCTATCATTGCCGTCGTGGAGTCTCACAGTCGAAGCTGACCGCAGACAACACTGCTTGCCAACAACTCTTCTAGTCCTTCATGCCGAGACAGAAGGTCCAGCCACCAACATATGTGGCGTGGGCACCCGAAACGCAAGCACCGAGAGTAACAACAGCCGCAGGCGTAAGAGTGCCAGCAGAAATAGCTTCCTCAGTAGCAGCAGCAGCTCCACAGGCAGTAAGGGCAGCAACGTAAGCGACAGTCAACCCAGCGCCGCAGACACCACAGCGAACAGAGGGACAGCCAGCCAGTCGACGTCTGTGGTCATCCTCATGTTCAGAACGATACTGAGCGATCTTGGAGTCGATTTCCTGCTGCAGTTTCTGGCGGTTGTCCTGACGCTTCTCAATCTTGGCGTCAGATTCCATGTAAGTTTTGAGGTTCTTCTTGACGTCCTCAAGGGCAGCGACTTTATCAGACTGTAGCCAAGACTTGATGTCTTTGACGCTGACGTCAAGGAAGTCAGCCCATTTGTCGACGTTGATGGTTGAGACATCGGACGTAGATAGAATCTCGTTGATGTCGGTTTCTGAGATACCGAACTTGGCGGCTACATCCTTAACGGTAAGGAGAGCAGAGGCAGTTGCGGTGGCAAAGGCCCAGAAGATGATCTTGGTAACAAGCATTTTGATAATTGTGTTGAGTGAAAGCTCTTAAGGGAAGATGGATGGAGGTGATGATGGTAATAATGAGAGAAGAATGTCGGTTTGTGAATGGGTGATCCCTTCTTATACTTATTTTGTTGGACTACTCACAAGTAGCTGTTAACAACGCCAACCGTTTAAACCTGTCGAATTACATGTCTCGTCAAGACTTGCCTAGTTCTCCTGAATGTTGCCTGGCAACTATTCTCACGAGTGACCCATCTCGTCGTACAGCTGGATAATCGCTCTTCGGCATTTTTAGACAGATTTTGGTCGTCTTTCGGCATCATAGACGCCAAGGAGATAGCTTAGACAGGAGATGTGACGATTCCAAGACTCCGCAAGTAAAAGTGATACGATGATCATCGTCGAGGCTGAGTTTATCTTGAGACATCTACCTCAATCAGGAAGGCAACACTTACTCATGGTCCTTAGAAATCCTTCTATCAAACTTTCTCGAATATATCATCAAGCGGCAAGTGTTCGGCAGTCGCAAGAGAGGAGCTCTAGGGACGTATAGAGGATATCGTCGTCTTACGACTTGAACTTAAGGTTGACAGGATGACGTAGATCCTATCTGAGAATGGAAGGAGGAAATTAAGCGTTGTAGGGATCAGGCCAGGAACAGGTAGCAATCAAAGTCGAAACCCTATTTAGAGGATCACCAAGCCGATCCTAGCCGTATGATAAAATATACCGCATATGTTTCATATCACTATTGCTAGGAGCATTAACCTTCGGGTGATACGAGATATTTCTAGAAACAAAGTTAAACTAGCTTGACGAATTGTCCACGAATGGCGGTGGGGATAATTGATGCAAGATATGCTAATCCCAGTGTTTCATATTGTGAACTTAGATGTTAAATAAGGTTATTCCTTCTAGAGGGTCCTATGAGGCGATCTATGGAAACAAATACGAGCAGTCCACGATACCACGCCGATCCTTACCGGTCAGTCCGAGGTTCCCGAAGGTTAATATCATACACAAGATGTATTCGTCTCATGTATCAACACATAGTAAAATGCAGAGGCATTCACTCTAGCAAGTCTAATATTTAAAAATGACTGCTCAGAGACTTACATAATGAAACAGGAAACACATGAAGAGAATATCAGAAATGAACTATCCATCACTATGAATACTAGGCTATGATCCTTCTTTGTTCCCTATGAACAAGCCTTGCGACTTTCACCCCAACTAGGATGTTGATAGGAACTCGGTTGTCCGAGCTCTTGATGCTGTGAGGTTAAGAGATACAGCATCTTGGCATGAGTATCTGCTAATCCCTTAGCATACTACCTTGTGGATTACGTATGTGTCTGGCGTTTTCCGGAACGATAACTCGGCATTTAGTTTCTAATAAGAGTGTCAGGAACAATATATAAACTAAGTATGACATGAACTCTTCCTCTACGATCAGAACATACAAACCACTCCACAGTTTCACAACCATTTGCACACTCACAACGCTCATTGAATCACTCATCTCAACTCACTGTCCACAAACGTAAGAAATCCAGAACGGTAGCTCTTACCAGCATTCTCTGATACCTAGAATAGTTTCACCATGCAAATCCTCACTTCAACCATCTTCATCACCCTCCTCGGCGTTGCCGCCGCTTTCCCAGGCCTCACTCCTCGCCAGAACTTGAAGAATGGGATTCTCATCTGCCCCAGCGCCGAGCTAACCTTTGCCGACCCGAAAGTCGGCATGGCTTCGGTCTGCACCCGCACTTACAGCTGCCAATACGGCAGTGACGGTATCAAGAGCGGCAATGTCTGGACCAACTCTTGCACTGGCTGCCCTGGGGACCAGAATGTCAACTCTTTCGGCAACTGTGTTTTTCAGTACGTTTGAGACTTTGCTATACTAGCCTAGAGAGGATTGTAGGATTATTTTGGGGAGATTCGTGTTGGATTGGGAGGATAAAATGTATTAAAGACCAAAAAAACTAGTAAAATGAAGAAAAGCTGTTGAGATCAAGGTCCTGGCCACGGTACTGAGAGTAGCTGATTGCTTTAAACATGGCATATGCCTACTGGCTGGAGGGTTTCCGTGAGCCCAAGTTGCGATCTGAGGCAGCCTTTGAAATGAACCATCATACTATAGAGCTCTTGTGCACGCGACATGTATGCAAGGTTTACCCCGGAGTCTCTTATCGCTGCACCCCTGAATCTTGGTACTTAGCGGCTAGCTAGACGAGGACTGCAGAGTAACAGTAGCCGTTGCCGATGGCCCGTGGGTAGAGTTAAGGTACGCGGCAAGAAAGTTTAATAAAGCAAGTGACTTTCATCTGTCGATCGCTATGTTTAACAAAACACGAGATGCCATATTCAGCAAAATGGAACGATTTAAACTCTTGCCAAAACTCAATTACAACGGTCTAAAGATGAGAAGAGAAGAACCAGTGGGCAAAACGCTTGTTACATGAATCTGAATATAGAATAGCAAAAAGATCAATCCCCACTACACTACCTGTAGTGAAGAGCGAAAGAATGATCACGCTGGGGATCGAACCCAGAATCTTCTGATTCGTAGTCAGACGCCTTGCCATTGGGCCACGCGACCAATTCATGATTTTCTTGCTCTAATATCGTGTTATACGCCCCAGTTTTGCCATTCACTCTAGCTTCTACTCGGGGAAAGTGCTATGCCGAGCAACGGTTCGCTATAATAACTAGGGCATAATAGAACAAGAAGAGTCCTGCACTTGTGCTTCGTTTATTATCCCTTTCTGTGAATATCATTAGAGTGAAACAACTAAAAGAATCTGGTCCTGGGCAGGTTCTATGGTTGAGTCAGACAGGATATATGCTTAAAGCGACAATCTGACTTCAAGAATAAAATTTACTAAGATCACGAATTCAAGTGAATGTACAATTGAATAACGCGTTTTTACATCTATATTACGTCCGTGAGGCACATTGAAAGCGTAGGTAGAACGCCAACTTGAGGGTGAGGCAAACTTACCCTAAGCCAATTGTGGATGTACAGATAGACATGAAAATTTGGATCCACTACGTCATAGCAATTGAGAAATTGGTCGAAAAGTTCAATTGGCCAAGCCAGACTATAAAAATAAAGATACGATAGCATTGACTACTGAGCTTTAGGCATATGCAAGAGAGATAAATTTACACACGGCGTGGCCATTCAGGATCCCGCGCCAATTCCATCTGTGCAAGATGAATCGCCTGATCCTCCGGGTCCTCAAAGCTCACGACACTCGCTGTACCATTGGGCTTGAAGTAAGGGCCGTCAACCTCGCATTGAGCATCGTTAGCAGGCATAGTTCCATTGTAGAGGAAGGCCCGGACGTGCTTAGCGAGGCACAGCGATGGAACTGCGACAGAGCAATGGCCGTATCCCTTGACCTCGACGATCTTTGAGTCCTTGAATGCAGCTTCTGCTGACCTAGCGGAGATGAGGGGACAGACTGGATCATAAGTTGTAGTGAGAATGAGCAGAGGGTGTGCTGTCTCAACACCGTTGCGGGGAACGTAGTTATGCGTCTTGGGAATGCGCCATTGCTGCTTGGCAAAGAGGTAAACCAAATCATCGGGAGCGAAAACGCTGCGGTTAAAGGTTGGCATAACAATATCCAACAGAGAGTCCAGATCCTGTGGCCAGTGAAGAGGTCCCGCGAGACCATCGTTCATCGAAACCGTGTAGAGCGCATCACTGTCGTCACCATCATCCAGACCATAGGCCATCAGAGCCTCAGTCGCGTTACCGTTCATGAGCTTCTCCATACGCTCGGCAAACGTGCCCCAGAACTGAGGCTTGTATAGAACTGGGAACAGTGCACCATACCAGATTTTCTGGTAGTCGAGAAGACCGTAAACACTGTTATTGACATACACGTTCATCGGCTGTTCCTTCAGCTCTCCAACGAAAGAGAGGAATTTGTCTTTGAGGCCTTCCCAAGAGTCTGCCATGGGCGAAAGAGGGCATGCGTCGCCAGACTTGATGCACTCCTTCAGCAGACCATCCATGACATTCTCTGTGTCATTTAGGTCCTCCATATCGAAGCGAGCCTGATACCAGAGGAATTGATTCACAACTCCATCGATGATGACCCTGTGAGACCTCTCAGGGAATAGAGTCGCGTAAGTTTGGCCGAGAAGAGTTCCATAACTGAACCCCCAGTAATACATATCCTTCTGACCAATAGCATCAAGAATACTGTTCATATCGGCAGCTGTCTGAGGAGTATTGATGTACTTCCCATGCTCGCCCATAGTATCCTCACAAGCTCTCACATAATTATGCGTCCAGGCATAAATCTCAGCGCCATCCTTGACAATGTCGATATCATGCACTGACCCAAGTTGCTGACGCGCTTCTTTGCTGGGATAGCATGACGCGCGAGGAGACGAGGAGTTAATGCCGCGGGGATCAAACGACACAAGATGGAAACCGTCACCGACAATAGTACTCAATTGTTCTCCACGTCTGTGGAGAAACTCGAAGCCACTGCCGCCAGGACCACCGGGGTTGAGCAGGATGTTCTTGCTTCCCTCTTTGCCCCGCATGCGAATGATGGGGACATTGAAGGTTTTGTTGCTAGCGTCAGGATGAAACTGATCAATCGGCACATCAATCTTGCTGCACTCTACAGTGCGATTGCTGATCTCTCCGCAAGGCTTCCACTCAATGTGCTCGCCTGGGTAAGTCGTGCGGTCATGACCATGAGAATGCTGGTGGCGATGAGAGCAGCTAGGCGCAAGCCAATGGAATGCCGCGACGGTGAGGATACCAGCGCCGAAGAGCTTCCATTTGTTAATGCGTGACTTTCGGCGCGGCTCAGCCCATTCAGGCGGGTTGAGTGAGTGCTTGTCCATTTTGATGTTTGTTGATGATGACTCGATGAAGAGGAGACGATGGTTAAAATGAAACCAGTAGGCTAACGCGTTGCCACGTGAGCATCCTTGCATTCGTCATCACAACGCGCCGACATCAGCTTTCGATTTAGGAAGGTAATTAACCAGAGTTGTCATTTTTCACAATCGAAATTGAAATTTTGTCCGCGGACAAGAAGAAGTCGATCTATTTTCCATGGACTGTTTTTATTCTTCTCAGGTCATGCTTAAGGCGACCATGTTGGTGGAGCTCTACTCCTCCGGTTATGGACCTCCATGCTCGCGACTTGAGGATTCTTCAAGGATCCAGCCTCTTGAGGTCCATCTTCCTGACTCGAGTTACACTACAGATCGAGTCATTTGGGTAAATATAACCCACCCGGAAAATATTCTATTTCCCGATCACCCTCTCGGTTATACGGCAAGGCAAGAAGACGTCGTGAAACCATCACCATCATATTTCGTATACGTAATGGAAACCGAAAAAGGGTTGCCATATCCGCATCTGCTAATTATGCGAAAACCACACCGCATCGAGCGCCTAATTTAGCCATCCTATAGGAGGAATCAGAGCCCTGTATAAGCTTTCGGCAGCTAATTTATGGGTATGCGCGTGATTTTTAACCGTTTCAGAGATCGTAACTCGTCCCGTTCCGGAACCTTTCTATGAAGATCACTTGAGCCGTGACACCTCCGATGCATACCCGTATATGCGGGTGCACTGCTTCGATGATCTTGTTCCCGCTTAGGAAGATTAATGACGAGGAAACCTGTACGGGCCGTACCGATCTATCCGGGAGCTTGTTGAGCGGCAGTCGATGGACTAGTTGACTATAAAAGGGCAGTTGGTTTCTCTAGTTTTGGGCTGTTACTCATCAGCAATATCAAGACATTCGATAATCATGACTACCTTTATGACTCCGGCTTCTGGGCTTCAAGCGAGCGTCAAGAGGCATCCATATCTGGCACTGTTCAAGATCCCAGAGCAGTCTCCCCAAGGCACAAACTTCAAGGATGTCTCCTTTGCTCAGTTCGAGAGAGATGTCAAACAGACGGCAAAGTATTGGAAGGACAAGCTTTCTAATCTAGGTGTCAAAGACAGGGCGGTTGTCGGTGTCTGGTGAGTTGGTGTCATCGTGAATCTGCATCATCAGCTGATTCCCAATTCAGGTTGAGGGGTTATGCCTACTCCGATACCGTCCACATCCAAGGTCTCAACTGGGCAGGATACATCCCTCAGCTGTTATCTCTGCGCATGACAGACCCTACTGTCATCTATGAGCTCCTGCAGAAGTCCAATGCTGTGGCCTTGTTGCACGAGCCAGACAACACTTCTCTCTTGAAGGATAGCCCTGTGCCAACATTCCCAGCCGGCACTAACCACTTCGACACCGATGCAACACAACTGCCAGTGGCCCCTTGGCATCCTAGCAATGAAGATGATGTGCTCTTCATTTATCACACGTCTGGCTCGATTTCAGGAATACCGAAGCTCGTACCTCTTACTGCGCGATGGGTCGACTACACCTTAAATATGTCAACATATTTTGAGGAGTGGTCAAACAAGAAGAGAGAGAGGATGGTTAGTGTCCATATGTAAGTCTAACGTGAGGGCCACTAAGCGGTAGTGTACTGATGATCGATAGGGGAAGCTTCTGCCACCTTGCCGGATCTGCCCTCAGCTGGATTGCCGCTAAAGAGGGCTCATGCATCATCATCCCAAGTACCCTCCCTGCTCCAGTCCCTGAAGTGCGCACTATGCTTGACGAGCATGGCTTGACATGTGTGTGCATGTTCCCGCCTGCTCTATCTGCTCTGTTCAATGAAGCACGCAAAGATCCATCTCTCCTGGCTTCTCTGAAAAAGGTTGACAATGCAGGCTCTGGCGGGTTGACCCTCGATGTTGCAGATTTGGAATGGGCGCGCAAGAACGGGATCCCAATGTTTAATGTTTTTGGTTCCACAGAAATGGGCCTTGCTTTGATGACAGATGCTAGGAAGAACGACGATTACCTTGAGTGTCACCCTGCTGCCAAAATGGAGTTCATCCCCATCGGAGATACGCTCGCGTCGGGTGAGCAACTACTTGAGCTGGTTGTACCCCCTGAGGCGCCCAACTGCCCAGTCCCCAGCTTTAGGTCCGCTGATGGCAAGTTTCATTCAGGCGACTTGTTTGTTGAGGTCAAGCCTGGCAAGTACTTTTTCAGGGGACGCAATGACAACTGGATCAAGATGGAAGCCTCCCTACGATGCGATACCATGTCTATAGAAGCTAATGTCATGGAAACCTGTGGCGAGGATCTTGTCAGCGCCGTGGTTGCTGTCGGTGTCGGACGCCCTTGTCCTACTATAATTGTTGAGCCGAAGGAAGAGCTCCTACCAGGTCACAATGAGGGTTCGACGCAGCAGTTGAAGGAGGATATCCTGAAGAGGATCACCCCATTCCATAAGCGAAGGTATACACATGAGCGAGTCGACGATACGCGATACATCGTTGTTGTTCCACGGGGGACTCTTCCTAGAACAGCTACAAAGGGGAACGTGCGAAGACAGGAGGTCGAGAAAGGGTTCCAGACGGTGCTGGATGCCGTGTATGTGAAGTAGTTATGATAGCGGTAGGCACAGAATGATTAACAACACTGAAGTTTCTGCATACTTGGGCGATGATGTCAGATTGCAAAAGCCAAATAAGATGATCAAGGTATTTTAGAAGAGTCCCAAGTATCATGCAGCCAAGCCTTATATCCGACATATTGAAGCGATCAGCTGTCAGACCAGGGTTGTTCAGCAAAGCCACAAAGGCGGCCGATGCCCTGGATATAGTCACCAGTGAATTTGTTCTATTTGCGGCGGGGAGCCGGTAGCTAAACTGGTTTTAACCTTTATTTAAGAGGCTGCCTAAGCGCCTTAGCTCGTCGTATTGCGTATGCATTCTTCTGTACCGAATCAAGGGAGATCATTTATCTCCGTATGCTTACGTCGCGCCATCATAGCAGAGCAAGCGGATACCACGCTTGCCTCGTATTTCTGCCTGTGCCATTGGGTGTAGAGGTTCTAGACGACTGGGATCCTGGTATATATGGTCAGATTCAATGTGCCGTAGTACATCGGCAATGAGGAAGTACAAAAATGAGGTAAAATCCACAGATTTTAGTGGCAGGGATCAGGCAGCAGAATTGCCTTCCACGAAAAAGGCGGAGAACAAACTCTATTTCATGACAAGCATTATGGCTCGCTATTCGCTCTTGATATCTCGCGAATCGCGGCTTATGATGAAGACAATCTAGCTTGCCAACAAACTTGCATGGGTACAGTCAGCCAGCTTGGCATAATTCCCCAAATCGGAAGCAGCCGGTGGCGAGGCAGAGTTTGAAATGCACAAGGATCAAGTCTCGTAAATAGTTCTTGGAATTGGGAGTTCATATGTCAGGTTGAAATAAGATGACCGCTAACCGATTCGGGTGAAATAAACGCTTCCCTGTCATCGTTTCAACGTTGAAGTTGCTGATTTGGCCAGTCAGATCAATCATTGTATGGGCCTCTTGGTGGGATAGGTTGGGTGTCGGAATCATTGGGGTCAGCCTGGCTACTGACTCCGCCACGAAGATGGATACCTTTTTAACCAGGCTTTAATACTACTTATGTTTCTCTAGTAGCTCATAATCATACACATCACACTTGCCAATCTCCGAACCAGAAAGAACTTCGGACCAATTATATAAATCTTGCATCTCGATTTACGTAACACGCAGCAAAACGATGTTTGCGTCAAAAAGCAGTAGCTATCTTAGTCCACTTGGCACTGATGCAGGCAAGGTAATTTGAATACGTTTATGTCAGCATGCCCGAGACTAACACGTTCAGAGCCGACGGGAACGAAATAGAGAAGCACAACAACAGTTTCGGAAACGTAAACAAGCTGTTGAAGCGGCGAGGGTGAAGAGATTGAAGCGACTTGAAGGTGTGGTGGAGAGAATGAGCACTGTGATTGTGGACTTTGCGGATAAGATGCTGCAAGAGGAGATACTGCAACAATATCCCGCCTTGGCGACCGACGTGCAGGATGTCATTAAGGAGGTTCTTAGGCTGGCAAACGAGGCGGGGGACCCCGAAGAGACGAAGCCGTGTGAACGGTATGAACAGAAATCACTGGAATGTGGGGATGATGAATCGGATACACGAAGATCTTCACAGGATTCAGCAAGCCCAGCAGGATCACAGAATTTACTAATCGACATGCCATTTTCCTTCGATCAACATGACATGTTCACGACCCGCTCCCCACCAGAGCACAGCCAACTCAGAAGCTCACCTCAAGCGGTATATTCAACAAGACAAGACCCGCTTCATGACTCCCGTTCAACGCCTTTGCCGCCGCCATTCATGGTACACTCGCTGGGCTCTGGAATTTGGGACACACCTGCGTCACTACCCTCAGCATCTGTTTCCTCTCCCGCACTACAGTCGCACTTCAATATAGGCTCAAGACTTTCCGAACAATCAGCCCTAGCTCATACGTTCCTCGATCAGACAAACCTCACGTATCCTGATATATACCGCGATTCAATAAGGAAAGCTTTATGATACAGAGACCACAATTCGCGATGGATTTGAATGGCCGGACACTTAGCGTTGAAGCTTGCTCTCCTGGTGGCTTCGATGACTGAAAAGCAGCCACCTCATGAAGGAACGTCGATCTGCAAAAGTATAGCTTTCGTTCTATATCTAGCCATGGCATTTATCGATCAGGAGCAAGCAGGTTCGAGACTCGCCGATACGACATCTGATCTTTGGAAAAGTCACCCCCAGCTTTTATATCTTTGAACTACTCCTCGGACCATCTTCTGCGATTCGAAGTATTCCCTACACAGAAGATTAGTCTTTATTGTCAAGTCATTAGGAAAGTCAAACCTCTTGTGTGCATGTAGCCAGTAAAGTCCCATCTTTTGCAAACATTCGTTGGACAACCAAGGCTCTCCCGTGACCTGCCCAAGGACTTTCCATTTCTGAAACCATCCACTCATCTGCTTTAGTCCGCAGCGGTTCATGAAAGTAGACCCTATGGTCAAGGCTCGCTGCCATAGCCATCCTCGGACGCTTAGCCCATTCCTCGATGGTAGACCCCAAGCCCTCAACTTCATTCACTAGTTGAACCTGAGATCTCAGCTTGGGGGGGAATGACGGTACATCTTCTAGTGCGAAGGGGAGTCGCCATATACGGTGAAGTTGTGCCGCCGCGAGAATGAAGTAGCCGTCGGTCAAAAAGGCTAGGGCGTGAAGATGAGCGTCAGGCCCGCCATTTTCGGGAATAAACCCAGGGAAGCGAAACCACTGGCGGAAGATACGTCGTTTATGTGAGGGGTTGTTAGAAATTGGTTCATCGATCACATCGATTCTATAGCGCTGGAATGGCTCTGTCAAGGTCCATTCTGGCCGTTCTTCACACTGTTCGTCCGGAGGTTCAGGGATCTTGAAAGGGGCAACTGTGTGCTCGACAGTCCTCGAGACTCTCTCAGTCTCCCGAGTGAAGCTAACAGTGATAATGATAATTATCTCGTCCTGCTGACGACATTCAACCGTACGCGTGGCGAACGTAGAGCCTTGTTGAACTCTTGCGACATGGTACGTCTGTCGTCTATCAACAGATCCAGGATGAAGAAAAGTGCATTGGCAAGAATGAATGCGAAAATCTCTTGTCACAGTCTCTTGGGCAGCAGCGAGACTGAGCGCAATTACAGAACCGCCGTAGATACCCCTTCCTGCGGGGGGTAGCCACTGCTCGTAGACATTGGTAAAGACGTCCTGCATTCTTAGTTTTGGTTCAGAGGGGTTTATAGCTTCTACTTACATCCCCTAGGTCCTTGCGTTCTGTTATTTCAAAAATATTGGAATCGGGGCTGGCCTTTGCGGGCACAGCTGAATTTAGGCTGACCATGACTTGACGATACACTTAACAACGAGGAGTCAGTGCTATATAAGAAGAAACAAGTGCGATTTGGGTTCTTGGCGACAAAAGAACCGAGGTTCGGCAATCTAAACTCCCCACTCTACTCCCAGTCAACTAGTACCAATCTAGAATGCATCCCCTGCCAAATGTGATGTATGGAGTTCTTAAGAGTAGATTCTGGTGTTCAGCTATCATGGAAAATGTCATTACACAACATTGCCTATGCATATAGCCGTCTCACGACCCAGAGGCCGCTGCCTCAGAAAAGCCCATGTCAATGTCTCAATCCTCCTCGCGACAAGAAACGAGAAATTGCCTATTGCGAAACGCCAGACCCTTGCTCAAGGCAAGTCATTAGTTTCCTCTGGTAAGGGACTTTGCCAAAAGGCTCTGGTCTGCTTCGGTTCGTAGACCCTGCTCAGCAGCTCTCTTGGAGTTCTCAACCCCAGAAGAAATGGCCGCGGATATCGTAGAGGGGACAGAACCCAAGGTCTGCTTCTTCTCGTTGGTCTCAGACACCCTGGTATCCATGTTCCTTATGGTCTTCGATTGTCCCTGTAGAAATGTCAGCTTTTATGGAAAGGGTCAGCCATCTCATGTTACTCCTTACATCTTTCGCTTTCCTCGAGTTCTCATCAAGTGCCCTCCTGGAAAATTCCTGTGTCTCGCCTGCTTTCCTGTTGACCATCCTCGAGTCCATCCCCATGCCAGCGAAAGATGAAAGTTCATCCACCATACGCAGCATAGGGAAGATACTCATTTGCGACATCCGGGCCCACATTGAAGCGTAATCGGCAAAGGCTGAGAAGTAGGATCTGATGATGGTAGTGCTATTGAGGATGCACTAGATCACCAGTTAGAAAGTTCCATTGCATATGAAGGTCGACTCACGCTTCGCTTAAAGTCCAGCATGGAATATGGCCCAACCTTGTCTCCGTCGCTGCCGGCCTTGATGGCATCAACATATGGGTTGACATATTTCTCTGTGACAAATTTAACGGCTACCGAGATGGCGCTGAAGAATCGCACGAGGTTCACAACCTCGGTCTTGATCTCCAACATCGTGGCGATCGCCTGGACCAAGATGCCCTTGATCGCGTTCTAGGATTCTCTGTCAGTCAACGGCTCGCATACCATATTATCTACTTAGATACGTACCATTTCCAGGCTAGAGTTCTTGAGACGTTCCAGTTTGGAGTTGGCCTGGTTCAATCTTTCTTGCTGCTCAACAAGAATTGAAGTGGAGTTTTGATAGGTCTCTCGTGTGGCAGCCAGTGCTTCAGACGCTGTATGTAGCCTTGTCTTGGCTGATTCGAGGACTGCCTGAGCTGGGGCGGTCTGAGCTTGAACTTGTGCTATTTCCGTATCAGTGTTGTTGAGTTGACTGGGCGCGGTGCTCTGTTCGATTGTCAGTAATTGCCAGTAGAAACTTGGTCGGGGAAGCGTACCCCATTCGCAAATGATCCCGAGAAAGACTTGGCGGTCGCGTTCATGGTAATCACCGTCGCGTAGTTACTCAGGAAATCCCTCTGCCATGATTTGACCATATCGGAGTCTTTGTTCGGTGCAGTGTATCCAGGAGACTTGCCAGCTTGCTCTAATTCGGCCGCAATCCCGTTTGCAATCTAAAACGAGTCAGCCAGCTGATGGACGCAGCGAGAGTGAACTTACCTTGCAAGCCGAATCCAGTGCGGACTTGTACCGTTGGCTAGGTTCCGAACTTGAGGCCAGAGAGCCGAAAGACTTCTGCGAATGCGCAAGCATCTTCGCTGCGAAGGCTGTGGCCTGGCCAGCTTTGTCCCAAGCAATGCCATCAGTGGTGCCAAGAAAAACAGTGCTGAGCAGTTCCCAGTAGATCAGATCCCGAACGACCTGGCTGTAAGCAGGATCATTTGCATCCTTGGGCTTACTTGTACTAGGGACCGGCATGGATTGGTTCAGAGCGGCGGTCAAGCTGTCTACCAGCTTTTCGACAATCTGCCGACCAACGATGTCCCAGCTAAGAACATTAGTCGGAATCTTTCAAGAGTAGACACTCGCAGTACTCACTCTTTGGGTAATCCATCAGAAGCTCTTTTGAATGCCTCGGTTGATGCTTCCAAGGACTTCTCCAATTGATTGGTAGAAATATTCTGTTGGTAGTCAATCGATGCCCCAGCAACAGCTGACTCAATGTCCTTCAAGACTTGTTGGTCTTCTGAAGTTGGTTCTGCTGTAACACAAGCCTGATGGAGCTCAGAGGCATGGTTAATCCACTCTTTAAACTTGCCATCCATCTCCTTGGACGAATCCAAACAGTCCCGAGATGCATAATTCCAAGCTTCCATCTCCCGTATAAGGAGGTGTCCGGGAGCTTCTGGGTCGGAAAGTGCTTCAAGGATATTCTCAAACTAGGAAGGTCAGAAAGATGAACCGCCAGTACTACTCGCACTTACCTTTCCATAGACTGCCTCAGAAAGCATGTTGATCTTGCCCATCTGCTTGTCTGTCTCCATGAAGGTGAATCGACCCAGATCGACACACTTCGAGAGATTCGCCTGGAGCCTGAATCCGGCAAAGTCACTGGGTCGAGTTAGATTTTGTCCTATACCATGTTCTCTCGGAATAATCCACATACCTCAGGTACTTGAACCCTTCTCTTGGGGGTATAAAGGTGGCTTTGGCCGTCTGAGAGCCGGTGGCGACAGCACAAGCACCAAGGGCATTCAACGCCACTGGAGCTGGCATGACGATGTTCTCCCATCTGTATTGAGATGACAAAGATGCCTTTGACTCTCCAGACAAGCGACTGACTACACCAAAGTCCTCTCTCTTGGTGAGGACCTCGACTTGCCGTTGGTTGAGAGCCATTTTGATACGAAGTGTCTTTGTAAGATGAGTTTGGCTGGCTTGATTGCTTTGATAAACAGTGGGAAGGTGAGATGGTAAAGCTTGGGACTCACAATGGGATGGGATAAGGCTAGGATTTTGTACTTGTAATAGAGCTCTACTATGAAGATACTTTGTACTGATGGCCAACTGCGGATATCTTTTGCTCCACCCTCTCGCATCTAAAACCAGTAAGTCTGAGCTGCGCACTACAGCTCAGGCAGACGGCCTCCAGACCCTCCCCTTCGCCTATCACAGCTCATTACCCCTCCTCTGATCTAGATTCGGCTACGAACGAGTGGAAAGTTCGCAATAGTCCGTTCAATCAATGGACGTCTCAGGTTCCAAAGATCGCCGCGCTAAGATAGTCTATGCATAAGGCTGGCTGGGATCCCAATACTGAGCAACCGTTGGTCAACGTGGCTCGCCGATCTTCCAAAACAGGATATGTGCATCAATTCGGCGATCTGGACCTGCAACTGGAGACTTTAGCTTTCTCATGAGGAGCTGGATTGCCAACGTTAATCCATTTATGTGTGTTCAGCTAACCTTGGGAGATGCTAGTTCGTGCTATCAATCGATAGTCTTGCGCACGACTCCACATTGAGTTAACTCGTCTGAGAGCTGCATGAAGGCGAGTTAACCTCTCGTCAGCTGATTGACTGACTTTCAGATATTCAGCCGCAGGTCAAAGCTATGGTATGCGGCATGTGAAGTGTTCGTGACGCGTCGATATCTTCTTTGGTGGGCTGATAATGAACTAGTAGCCAATATATTGAGGAGCGGATCCTATACCACTTCTCGTAGTTGGAAGTCAATGTGCGGCTAGTGAAATAGATTGGTCGATATGAGTCTGGAACTCTGATGAACGACGCCGATAGGATGGGACGCTGAGTCTCAGATGCGGAGTTGGTGAATAATATCGTAATTCATCATATTCTCGGCCTCTTCACTCACACACGCTGCCTTAGTTCAGCAAATTGGTTGCCTCAATGCGGCCGCAAGAATAAGCATAAAGTTAGATCTCATCCCTAAGCTATTCTCTGATCCGATTCCTCAATTCATCTCTCTTTCTCTAATCATTATTCACCCATCTATCTCAACTCTCCATCAATCATGTCTTTCGCGACACCCTGGGAATCTATGCTGGCTCAGATGGGCCAGGATGGTCTTCGGTTTGCTCAAGCCATACCTGCTATGCAAGCAAACGCAGTCTTCGCAGCTGCTGGAGGGCCTTTCCAGGATCTTGTTCGGAGGCTTGAGGTCTTCAAGCAGAAGGTCGCTACCCAGGATGTCTTCCTCCGCTCCGGTGTCAAGGAGAACTTTTCCATGGCCATCAATCGCCTAGAGGTAGCACTCCTTCAGCTGTACAAGCTTGCTGTCTTCATCCGTGGAGAGTTTGGTGGCGATGACTTGCAGAAGATGGCTATCCTTGAGCAGTGCTCTCGAGCATTTTCAGACTGTCAAGCTGCCTCTCAGGCTGGCTTCGATCAGGTGCAGAGTATCTACACACAGGTTAGTAAGAAAAGGTAGCCATTAATTCTCGATACTGATTAGTTCAGGCTGCGTCTTTGAATGCGGAAGAGATCCAGCAGCTGCAACGGGAGGTCGAGCGTGCGTCAGAGCAAACTCAGATGGACTGGGAGAACGGCCGTCGTCAGATGGAGCAATATCAAGAAGATGTTGCAAGATATTCTCGCCAGTTGGAGGATGCTTCTAATGCTTACCGTGAAGCACACGATAACGCGCGTGATCGTGATATCGGCAACGACATTGGGAGGGTATTCTTTGTAGGTTTTATCAATCTGGCAGGCGAACCATCACTAATGCACGCTACAGCCTTTTGGTGGTGCTTTTGGTGACATGGAAAACAATCAGCAGAGAGTTGAAGAAGCTCGACACAGAGTGAATGCTGCGCAGGACCAACTTCAGAATGCGCAACGCGCTTTCATGCAGGTTGTGAGCCAACAGAACGAACTCAACATGAGGCGTGCCGCTGTTGATCAAGTGGCCCAGCAGCTTCCTGTCCTCCAGGCGACGGCCGATGCACTCAACAAGCAGTCCGCTGCACTCCTGGCTGGGTTCACTGAGCTCAGGGAGAAAGCTACACAGTTGGCACTCCTCATGAACGATATTAGGAACGGAGCCAGAGATACGGGTGCCCAGTCGTGGGATAAGGATAGGTTTGCGGAGGGTATTCTCAGACTTTGCCAGATGGCACTTATTGACGGCCGTGTTTGCGACGAAGTCGAGACCATCACCAATGAGATCTCTAGTGGATACTCTGGCCAGGTACCAAGCAGTGTTGCCGACCTCTTGGCTAAGGTTGGGCAGCTTGCTAGGGATGTAGCTCAGAAGAGTATTTCTGCGTAGTAGATGATCGTGGACAATTATAGTAATTGTGTTATTACTTAGCTTTTGGATTGTAAGAAAGATATCTATAGCAGCTATGCAAGCTTAGTTCATCATCTATAGGTCTACCCAGTCAACATCCGGTTTCGAAACCATGAACATGAGTAATAGCAATAGAAGAGGCCGAGGGGCGATCCGGATGTCATCGGCTATAGGCCTGTTTGTTAGCCATCTCAAGCACATACGACGATACCTACAGGAAAATACGGGATCCCGTCTGCTCTCCCATAGTCAAGCCTGTAAGCGGCGGATTAGTAGTTGGGTCGGTGACGACCAGCGAATCCCCGCTGTTGTATGTTTTGCATTTTTGATGAATCTCACTGGAAATGTTGTGCTAGATTGTTTTGCCGCTTGTCGTAGCATATGCATGGTCTATGGTTGGTTAGCCTAGATAGGTAAACAAGCTATGGTTAGTGACTTATGCCTAGACACCTCAGACTGCTCCTTGTGTTAAAAAGCTATTAAGATATTTTCCTGTTATAGAAAAGAAGCAGAAGCACTAAGGCCTCTCCTCCCTTTATGCATTTCGACAATCGAGGGTTGGCCTGAATAATGGTTTTGCTTGATATGAAGTTTGTTAATGTAGTTATTGTTTCCTCGCGCTATGACCACGCATGATCTGATAAGTGATATTGGTATTTCCAGACTGGGCCAACAAGAACGGCGATATACCTTTCATCATGGAACCAACAGCATGTTCCCAGCTTTTACTGAGTCATGCCAAACTCTTGTGAGCTTCAAACCAGGAACAAAGCGTGTACATGACACCAGGGCACCGATCATCGTAACTACCAACATGCCGTTGACCTCGCAGGGTGTCGTCGCTGTTGGTAGCAAAGATATCTATTCAGGTAGCTGATAAGTACCGACGGGGCCGAGATAACCGTGCCGTAGTATCCGAGTTCACAACCAACACGAACAAAATCAGGTCAGATATGCAACTAACCAGTCGCTGCCTAAAGTAAAATGTAGCGCCTGAATGATTCTCAACAAGTTCAAATACTCACGTTTCAATCGTTCTCTCGACAAAACAACACAGCAATCGTGTGCATTCCTGAGTTCTAGTCTGCATACAAAATGGTCCCTTCCTTCCTCAAAGCCCTTTTACTTCTAGCCCTCGGCAGCGGTTTTGCGTCTGCCGACACGTTCGATTACGGCGACAGGGACGGCAGCCTATTCCTCGACCTTTCGATCTCCGAAGCCCAAAGCAAACGCCATGAATGGGGGCTCGTCGAGCCTTGGACCAGCGACTACATCTCAGCCCTTGAAGAGAACAGATACGGCGATGCTATATGGGCGCGATATCAAATGTTTGGCGATACTTTGAATGGCACTTTCTTAGAGTATCCCCAATGGACAGTTCGCGAAGCGATTGAGGAGGATGCTATTGGATACCGAGTTCGTGAACGAGACATTTGGAAGCACGCCATGGCTTTCTATGCCAATTCAAGCCAGAACACACAAAGTAATATACTTGATCTCATCTTCGACGTCGACAGCAGGAACTACTTTCGACTACGTAAGTTTCGCAACTTGTCAATCGACGGTGCTTTAACTCACAGGATGTTTAGTTATAGACTGGTATCGATTGCATAAGCGTTTCCAACAAAGCGAACACGTCATTCCAGGTTGCGACTGTTTGAAGATTGCCCAGGATGAAGTTGACTCTGTTCAAGAGCTCAAGTAGTTGACTTTGATATCGCCTTGCTTCAAGATGCAAACTATCATAAGGAACATGCTACCTCAGGACCTTGATCCTAAATCACTTAGTTTGCTTGATCTAAGTTCAGAATAAGTTTAGTATACCTTTTCCCTAGTCTATCCTGAACCTCATCCCAATGTCTGATGTCTTGCTCCCTGAGGACATGGGAATTCTTCGCTCCTTTACTTTGGCCAATCATGACGGGACTTTATCTGTACTCCCAGACCGGTCTGGCAGTTTGGAAAAAGAAGCTAGATAGTTAAAAGTATTCCCGGCATTCATGCATATTGCCTTCCAAAGCCTGGAGTTAACTGGTATTATTCAGTGTGTTGGCTTGAAATGTCTAGTTGAGATATCATAAGCGTTAACTATCAATCAATTTCGGCATTCATACGGGCTCCCCGGTTGAGCTCTTGACTTCTTCATTTGATACGTGTCGTTGTTTTGGCGTTTTCCATGTGTTCCTCAATCTCACGGGTAGACATCAGTGCTCTCGAATCTCAGCTACTGTAACATGACTGAAAAGGTACTTGGGATAACTTTGTATAGGAAACATCCGTTTCCCAGAGCCTGTTCCAGAACCACGATACATCCGGTGACACCAGGCTGACCTTGTCTCAAAATATGGTGCTGTGCGACTGCATGCAGCGCATATAACTACTACTTAAGGCAAGGTTCCAGAATTGCGAGATTTTATCATCTGATACCAATCCGTTGGTCACATCATGCAAGGCAGGGATTTAGCGATCTGGATATCTTATCAGAAAAGCCCACGCTGTCATTCAACAAATATCATTCGTTGGATTTTTCGTCAATGCATGGCGTTGATATTTTGCCAGAGTTGGACATTTCAGATCTTACGATACGATGACAGCTCACAATCGAGCCACCAAATCCACCGCTCTGTTGATTATATCTTATGCCGTTTTTATTTCTATTATGAGAAGCTAATACACCGTTGCACACAAGTTTAGAATCAATGACACCCTCTTTTTCCACGCTAAAATGTTGGGTCCTCTTCCTTGATAGGCTTCAAATCGCCCTGACCCTTGAACACCTCCAGAATCTTGGCCTGCTCCGTCAAAATAAATCTATCAGTCTGTTTTCCAATGTTTGCCAACTCCTTCCACCTGTTGAAATCGGCTGGATTTCTCTTGTCACCATGCGCATCTTCTGCGTGCTCCCAATGGCCCTTGGAGAAGCCCAGCATGCCGCTGATTGTCTTGTTGGTGATGTCGTAAACAAGAGACACAATTGTTCCAGTCTCTTCGAGCCAGTTGATCTGCCATAGCTCTCCTGGCCGGATGCATTGGTATGCTACGGTTTGGTAGTTGATACGGCCAGCCATTGGGCCACCGTGGATGGCGTAGACGACTCGGTCGTCGGAGAAGAACCAGATTTCATAACGCCATTTCTCAGGGTTTCCTTCTGCATCTGTGGCGTCGTAGTCGTAGATAAGATGAGTATTGAGTATATCCTTCTCAAAGGTTGGATGAAGGGGAGTGTTTGTCTGATATCGTGGCAGAGACATGATGAATATTGAAGAATTTTGTTATGGAGTTTCAGAATTTGAAGTAATTACAAGAGACAATACGAGATGCCTCTAGACTACTGCCAAGTATTTATACTCTGCACGATCGCCTCGCTTAAGTGGCTTGATCTCTTGGTACGACGGAATGTAATCGTAACATGATCCATCCTCTCGGGAAACCCGGGCAGTGAGTTTCCACTAAAAGTGCCAAACGGATCAATAGGAAGCAAGGATCAGTTTGCTAACGTGTATATCCGAGAATCGATCTCAAGACGAGATCCATTATAAACTCAATTGATATCGTATGATGTCACCACGGGACTAGCCAAAGCATCCACAAAGCCACCGCAGATGCCGCAATCGACCTCGGTCTGATGATGTCGGCAGTGAGAGTCGGTAGCACAGAATAGCCTCATAAATTTAGCGGTCTGCACTTTACTCCATATCTCGTACAAGACGGAACGTTACCCATGGCCAGAGATATTTCTTCTGCCACCAGTTCAGGCTGCAAATGTTAGCTGGTTCATGGCGTTTCAGTATTACGCAACTCACAAGCTCTTTCGGCCTGCGATACGAGGGTGCAGGGCCCAACTTCCTCCAACCACAGCCATATGCTTCTCGTCCATGAAGTCGGCTGGACTGTCTCAGAAAACAATGACATAGAAACCCCCTCGTTAGCGGATCGACAAAACTCACCACTATATCCGGGATAAATGTCCATCGCCTTGAATCCCGGTTGCGGCGCGAATAAAGTTCTCGTCCACTCAGCCGCACCTCCAGTATTGCCCAGTCCACAAAGATCACCCTTGTGAGTGATCCCCGTTGGATGAAAATTCAGAAATCCAGAATTTGTGTCCGATAAATCAACAAATATGGCCTTTGAATTGGTATGGAATTGATGATTCACTTTACTATCCGGGGCCTTACGACAAAGCTCAACATACTCGTGGATGCTTCTTAATTCGTGGAGCGTTGGTAAGCGAGCACCAGCCCATCCAGAATATCTCTCTACCTCGTCGAAAGAAGCCATCACAGGCCAATCAAGTGCCTGCGACAATGGCACTGGTCCCCAGACAGTCTTGACACTGTGACGAGCGACGAACGTGGTGTAATCTTCATTACTTCGGGCATCGCGCGTCTTGCTCCAGGTAGCGGGGATCTGAGGCTCCTCAATGTCCACGAGGTACTTAGCATACTCTCCGTTACTGACTGGCCGACCTTGTGCCTCGATTTGTGGGACAGTGATATCGTACGGCTCGCGCTCGTTATCCCACGCAAAGAATCTGTTTGGCCCATCATCACTTTCAGGGTCATGGTACCCGATGGTGAAAGTCTGCTCGGGCATCTTGATCCATGGATTCTGGAGGCGTCGTGAAGCAGCTTCTTTGCGAGCTTTGCGAAGTCTGGCCTTGGCAGATCAGGAGGGGAAAGGATGTTGGGACTTTGAATCGTCATGAACAAGAACGTCTCGGCATGAAGGCCTATAACATGTCAACGCCGATTCTATCACTGATCAGCCGGCGAAAGTAGACATACCCTCATGCTCGAAACCTATTCAGAGCGCTCGTCCACTACAGCGACCTTTGTAAGGCTTTTCACTTTGATAAAGCAATACGATTCGCTGTTTCACGCGATTTCGATATAGAAGAATGTCCCCAAGACATGGAAAAACGTCTGGGTGTTGGCTGTGATCATGGCATTTGGAAGGATCATCAACATCAGGATCTATGCCACGCTCAAAGATCCGATGATAATATGGTGGCTCAGTAGGCGCGCTGTTAGTTACTCTGGCAAGATGAATATCCTCACTAAGTTCACTATTAGCCCAGGTTTGAGATGAAAGAGTGGATTCTGACAAGGTTGGAATATGTCCAAGGTAGAACAGCAACGGGTTCCGGAGAGGAATTGGTTGTTCCATCAACGCATCGGGCGATATCATCTTCGTCGTCACAAGATCCCAGACGCTCCATAATTGTTTCCATTCAGCCAGCGAACGCACTGGGTTAGGAGCATACTGTTCTGGTTTCAGTGGGAAGGCGTATGGGTTCTTAGATTCCATTGTGATTTGGCCTGTGATCATTGCAAAGATTAGATAGACCAGACGAGAGGTCCGACGATGCGTAGTGATACTTTGAGCTCTCAAGCCCTCGGCCTGAACTGTAATAGCAACGTCATGTCCACTGAACTCCCCAGCAACAGCTCAGTCATAAAGCTAAGACACGGCTTGTTCCTTCTTTCTAAATCTGGATTGGCTTAGCGTTCTGGAGACTGGATCAAGCATGAGACTTCCGATAGGGCCCCAGTAGTCGGTACCCATACTGATGCTGACGAGTGAAAGGACTCAGTGGCCGTGATGTCATTGGCGGCCAAGGGCATGCTGTATTCAGGGTAAATAGAATTGAATCTTTCTTGAGCTTCATTTGTCGAGCAGGTGGTCGATAACAAATTGCTGGGCAGATTATTGTGAGACATGATGACTGCGACTGGATCTATTTTTAGCGGTGCCGATCCATCGCCATTTTATCTCGATAAGAACCCAGACAGTGCTCAAGGCCGGGTATATCCGATACAACCTCAACAGCTCGTCAAAGTCTTTCTATCATGTAAACTCTGGGGCGATAGTAGCAATGCATGGCTAAACGGCCGTTCCATCGCCATATCAGACGCCGACTACCAACAGGTCTTCGTGTCACTGGGCGTATGCCTGTGTCAGCTGTTGAGCGTGTAGCCTTCATCTGCCTTTTGGAATTAATATTTCACATGACTGTTGGAAAGGCCTGACATAGTCCGTTTGTTAAGAGAACCTCAATTCGCTTGACCAACTTCAGGGCCAGTGCGAGCCATGCGACACATTGCTTTTCGGTCGTATGAGTGCCATATTCAAGCCCTAACACTGAGACAAAGAGTCGCCCAAGGTTGCGAAAGAGAAGAGGGGACTGACGAGGTTACCTACTTTAGTGATCTTTCAATCTAACCGATCTTCGACGCGGCGAAAGTAGAGAGAGCAGGGGACGTATAAGTTCGCGGAAAGGGGCGTTGTCGTATTCGGGCCAAGGTCTAGACTCGGATTGACATTCGGGCATATTGCTCTCTAGAAATGGCCATCGTGACACAGAGTCGGAATGTACAGGAGGAATCCATCGTGTTCCGTATTCTTCCTTATAACAAATCACTAACTCGCGATGTCTAGTAGTACGGAGGAGGCGGAACAAGACAAATTCCAGCCAGATCGATGTATGACGTGGGTTGACTAAGAGTCGAATCATGAGGCTGCTTATAGCACTATGTATAGATGCTTTTTGATGACAGATCATGGAATCATATCATTTTGCCGCAGGTATTTAAAGGCTGCGTTTGCGCATCTCCGCGGGAATCAGCATCTCCAAGGAATGACACGCTCGGTCCGTAGGCCATCGAATATTCTTGTGTATTTCTGTAAATGCAACTTGATGAAATAAAATAAGTTTGATTGAGATGAAAGCACGGAATGGTAGCTGTAGTAGCTCATCCTTCAACGACTAGAAAAATGAAGGGTTTGGTTAAGTTTTACTGCGAATACCGTCCATAAAGTAGGAGTCTTTGCGTGGCCGTGAACTCCCGAACAGTACTACCATATGCCATCGTCAAGCATAAGCCGAGACAGATCGGAACTTGATTGGAAATCAATTGCATCTCGTGATCTCAGCGAACACGGATGAACATGGAATACTTCAAGGTGCATTACTCCACATCTGATTTTCGCTTCCATAAAATATAAACCTCCAGCACGTCTCGTCGTTGTTCCCATCATCATGGCTACTAAAAAGCTTCAATTCGCACTCCGCAACAAAAGAGCACTCTTCAGTCTACAGCGTTTCAATAGAACCTACACAATGGCATCTGACGCACCAAGCTTCCCTTTCTCGCGCGCCTCTGGCCCTGAGCCACCAGCCGAGTTCACCAAACTTCGAGCTACGAATCCTGTTTCTCAAGTCAAGCTTTTTGACGGCTCTCTCGCCTGGCTCGTCACTAAGCACAAAGATGTCTGCTTCGTAGCGACTTCCGATAAACTCTCCAAGGTATGATCTGATATGATCTGAGGGGTCGCTAGTGTTTCTAACCTGGTTCAAGGTCCGCACTCGCCAAGGTTTTCCTGAGCTTAGCGCCGGTGGAAAGCAAGCAGCCAAGGCAAAGCCGACGTTTGTCGACATGGATCCCCCAGAGCACATGCATCAGAGGTAAGCACCTTATTGTCCTTCCTTTCTAGAGTAGGACTGACAAAGATTGAAGGAGCATGGTGGAACCAACCTTTACCCCGGAAGCGGTCAAGAATTTGCAGCCTTACATCCAGAAGACTGTCGATGATCTTCTGGAGCAGATGAAGCAGAAGGGGTGTGCCAATGAGCCAGTTGACCTTGTGAAAGGGTTTGCTATCCCTGTCCCCTCCTATGTAAGTCACGGCAGACCATTCTTGAAAGGACATGCCTCATATCGGTCTAGATCATCTACACCCTCCTCGGAGTTCCCTTCAAGGATCTCGAGTATCTTACGCAGCAGAATGCCATCCGCACAAATGGCAGCTCCACTGCCCGAGAAGCGTCTGCCGCCAACCAGTAGGTCAAACTGAGAGCCACCTCAACATGTTCATATCTGACATTTGGTAGGGAACTCCTTGATTACCTTGCAACTCTTGTCGAGGAGCGCCTCGTAGAGCCTAAGGATGATATTATCAGCAAGCTTTGCACTGAGCAAGTCAAGCCTGGAACTATCGACAAGTCCGATGCTGTGCAGATTGCTTTCTTGCTTCTGGTCGCTGGCAACGCAACCATGGTGAACATGATTGCGCTGGTATGTTGCTTCGTTCATATGTCTGTCGTTCATTTACTGACACTTTGTAGGGCGTCGCCACTCTAGCTCAGCACCCTGATCAGCTGGCGCAACTAAAGGCCAACCCATCTCTTGCGCCCCAGTTCGTCGAGGAGCTATGTCGCTACCATACTGCTTCTGCACTCGCCATCAAGCGCACTGCCAAGGAGGATGTCATGATCGGCGGCAAGGTAAGTTCAACCCCTTGTTCTTCAGGCATAGAAGAGTGTTGACCCCATGCTAGCTCGTCCGCGCAAATGAAGGCATCATTGCATCCAACCAGTCAGCCAACAGAGACGAGGAAGTCTTTGAGAATCCTGATGAGTTCAACATGAACCGCAAATGGCCTGCTCAAGATCCTCTCGGTTTTGGCTTCGGTGATCACCGATGTATCGCAGAGCATCTTGCAAAGACTGAGCTCACGACTGTGTTCTGTATGTATATATGCCTTTAATGCTTGGGATTCTTACGACTAACATGCTGCAGCAACACTATATCAGAAGTTCCCAGATCTCAAGGTTGCGGTTCCACCGGAAAAGATCAACTACACGCCCTTGAACCGGGATGTCGGAATCGTGGACCTGCCTGTCACTTTCTGAGGATATTCACAGCAATGGATAGGCCCGTTTTCGTATCTTGTTGATTAGCACCTGAATAAATTGTCTCACCTCTACTCACGTCAGCCTACATTGTGCAGGTAAAGCGATACCTGTTCCTTTAAGTTCTCTATGCGGAACAAATTTACTGTAGCAATGCTAGATGAATCCATGAGTCCAACTGCTAATGCAGTAGTAATTCTACATGTGTGTATTGAAATTATTATATTATAAAGGGTTAAAGACTAGCTTCTTGGTCGTTGGCAGTCAATATTCTATGACATTCCGGCATTGATAGCTAGCTTCTACCACTCAGTTAAAAGGTCCGATCACTCTCCCCATCTCCCACCACCACCGTGGTTTCAACTGTCTTGGTGATGCCATGCGGCTCAGGGAATGTTGCTAGATGAACTTGTGATCCGTTGTTGCCCTCACTGCTCTCAAGATCTTTACCATCTTTACCCATTCTACTCATGATGTTGCTTCCGCGAGTTGGGACAGGTGGACCGGTAGTCACAACTACACGGGACGTAAGACCATAGTTTGTTGGGTTGGACTTGTCCCGGCTGCTAGAATACCATCCCTCTCCTTGACTACGAGAGTTACCTCGGACGACCTTGGAGATTAGATTTGCCATGAGAAGTTCTATGTAGAGCTTGACGATATACGCAAGAGGGGCAAATTGGACGTATCTACTCCAATGTTAGCTATAGTCTACCCGCAGTGTGTGATATACTTACAGGTAAGGATCTGGTAGACTGAGGAACCCCAGAAGAAGGACGTCCATCGATGTCGAAATAAACACCATTCCAGCGTTGAAGTTGAACAATCTCCAGTATTTATTCAGGCCATCGGCAATCAGACGATACCGCACCAGGTACAAGAAGTACATGTTGAGTGCCAAGTCAATTATGAGGAAGAACGTCTTCTCACACTTCTCGAATATCATGTTCGTATGCTTCTGCGAAGGTGTAGCAGTGTCGAGGTGTGCAACCGTGAAGATGTAGCAGACAGCGCCATTGACAAAGAGAATGCAGACCACGAGCCCCCACTTCAGGTTCCTCGCTCGGCGTCGGTTCGTCATAATCAAGGACACTCGGTTGGCGATGATCTGAGGGAGTAGTTGCGTCTGGATCGACCATAGGATGACAGTAGCGAGTAGAAAGCCCAGGCTGTTGATGATAAGCAAATGGGGTAATGAGAGGGCACAGTGGGATGCTCACTTTCCAGGGATGATGCCATTGAGGTAGAGGAATGTTATGAGAGCAAAGACGAAATTGACCAGCGCCTCGGTCCAGATCATGTAGAGGTAGGCATTGTGAAGGCTGTGAGTACGCTTGTAGATGGCTCTGGTCTGCGATACAGCCTTTGCAAACGTAAAGATGAAGACGCCGAGAAACAACCCATAGTAAACTGATGCCAGATCGATCATGCTGGGCAGTTGAGAAGACAAATGATGGAAGAATACCAGGGTCAGGATACGACATGATCGGAACTATATACCTGCAGGTCTCTCTCAACAGCCAGCTACGGGTAGTTTTCGTATCGTGCATGAGCCCAATCTAAATTGGCTTTGCTAACGCCTGTACCAAAAATGCAGCATTCAGCTATTCACCCCGTGTCTCGGTAGATGATGATTGTCACCGCTAAAGAGCAGTGTCAGAACACAAGCCTAGAGTACATAAACGGTGGCTTGAAGATCTACAAGCACTAGCCATAGAATGGGAAGTGCTTGGGAGCAATGCCGGCGACACCCCACATAATTGACTTTACCAAGCATGAATGGGCTGTGATGAACCCCGGGTTGTTAAAGAACCTGGAAATGAATGTCATCGGTAATCTCTGCGAGTCAGCAAGACATCTGCAAGGTCTAGGATATGGTCCCCGACTCCCCGTAGACGATCAACAGGGAGCTTGCGATACGTAAGAACTGACAAAGATAAACTTCAAATGCTGTAAAGATCAGCGCAGGGACAAGGCGCTTCTACCAACGCTGGAATTGCAGACAATGCGTGGCTTGAATATCGTCCTATTATTAGCAGAAGTTTCGTTCGACTCGAATTCAATTTCCAGTAGCTTGAAACAAAGGACGCCTTTCCAGTCGCTATACTAATTCCCGACTCAACGCTGAGGATACCGCGACGCACAGGCACCTCCTGAAACCCCAGTCCACAAGCCAGACGCTAACACGAAAGTTTAAAACCTCGCATCAATACGAGCAATTATAGGGCTGTCCATGTAACCCTCTGATCTGGTATGACCTGAGCTAAGTTAAAAATGCGCCGGGAGCACTTCCGTCTGATGAAACTATCGATCTTGATCATCACGGCATTTTGTATGACCGAAGGTCAGTGCGAACAGGTTCGTTCTGGGCAATCTTGTCCACGACCGGCCGGTTACGAGAACGTGGATAGATACAATATTTAGCTCTACCAGATATTGGATCAATTGAAGGGCATTCACCATGAATATCTGGATGGCTCAATGAAATACGACTCCACTCCAATTCTCATGCTTCTCAAGAATATATCTCCACCTACTCGTAACAACTCGGCCTGTCGCGAGGTCTCTAAAACAACTATCTCAACTGTCGGTTCCACATCATGCATTGCACCGTATGTCAAACAACAATACCGTCGTATACTCGTATACCCGCATAACTACTCAATTATTTTTCCTACGGCATGTGATGGCTCGGTCTCGCAAGCTTGTCTCAATGAATAGCCCTGTCGATCCATGGCTCACATGTTTCCTTGGCACGCAGCCGTCGCCCTTAGCCTCGGAAACACACCAGGGGTTCGTGGTTTTGTCTGTGCTGACCTGCAGAACTTGGGGCCGCTATCGTATCCCGGCAAATTAGAGGCTTTTAGGCAGACGCAATTGAGACTTGGGAATTGGTGAACGGGGGTTTTGTTTCTGGGCGGCTGCTCAGTGCCGACTCGCAGTATCTGCTAGCGACGAGTCCATAAGGCCTAGAAGCGTGGCGCACTAATGAACCTAAGCCTTGGAGTAAGGTGTTGCCATTTCATGATATGATTCCGGGGTCTAAAGCTTCGTGTAACGCCCCTGTCTTGCGCATCTGGTAAATAGTTGATTGGGACTTGGTGATGAGTGTTCGACATGTTGCTCGTAGGCGGTTAGTTTCCCTACATCAGATCTCAAGAGGCAAGCTCAGCGAGATAGCTTCCTTGTTTCGACAACAGTGTTCCCTTGGCATGTTGTCCACGAACAATGCTCGGCCTCTGTCTTTGCTCTTCAGCATGCCTGAGCTCAGTGGCAGGGAAATAATTGGCTCGAGGTTGAGATACGGAATAAATATGCATTTGAATCTACTTTGATACAGGGCCTTCCTCTGGTAGATGAGAAGCCTATCCAGATCCAGCTAGGGCAGTCTCGGCAGGATAAAACCCGCCGGAGTTTGCATCTCACATGAGTCCTCCACAGATACACTCGTAGGCGTAAATTATACGCCCTTCGTATACAACTCGCTTGTATCTATTTTCTTTTTGTGTTCCAAAATTAAACAGCTACATCTCTTGTACCCTCTGAGGGTGAAATATCATGAGGACGCCTGCTTAGATAGAACCTTCACGACAACACTTCACGCGATAGCCCAAACGAACCAAATTTTAAGAGACCTTTACGAGACTTCTCTCAGATTCTCCTCGCGTTATTCACTAAAGTGTCCCATACTGAGTCACTGCAACCACGGCTTGCATAGCGCTGCCGAGAGCGCCTCCCTTGCTGTGGAGTCCACCAAGCTAACGTTAGCGATTTACACAGAATATGCATCTACGAGAGCGGCAGGACCGGATCGCCAAGTCCACCTCTTGCGTCACTATCGTGATCGTCGTCTCCAATCACCTACTCCATTCTACCATCTCTTCAGTCAGATTTTGGCAATCCAATCCCCTGTCACGAAGCTACCTGAACAAATCGCATCTGTTCAATAGCCCAATCATCATGGCGGCAGAAATTACCACCACGACTGTCGTCACGGCATTTCCCCTCCTCTTCGGAGTAACCAGCACCAGCATTGGAATCTACAGCTTTGTGTCACCCTACAATGCCATGCGTCTCTTCGGTCTTCAGGGCCCAGCTGCCGAGAAAACCTCTTCGTCGCACTCCGAAGCTTTCCAGAAATCTCTCATCTACGCGTCTGGACTACGAAACATCGGCACCGGTCTCAGCACTCTTGGCCTCTATGCGTTCTGGCAATTCTCCCCAGTCTGCCAAGTGAGCCCGCTAGCTGCCGCGATCACGAAGAAGTGCATGGGAATCTGCTTCATGTTCGGTACCATCGTTGGAGTTGGTGATGCTGTTATTGTGCGGCAGTTTGGGAACAAGGAGTACGTTCGGGGCGAGGCAGAAGCGAAGGCTGCCAGTGCTAGCATTAACCATGGGATCACGGCAGTACTCATCCTGGCGACTGGCCTCTTTTTGTACTTGTAGGTCAGTGGGTTTGCGTAGTGGTCACGGCGCATATGCTGCTGGAACCGGGACTTCACATCACTCATGTACAACATCTCGACTCATGATTCATTAATCCTCCCTTACACGCGGTATTATATGGCAGGCAACACATCAGTAAATTGAAAGAAAATGATTTACTCCCTAAGCTCCAAAAAGCTCATAACCTCCACATGTTCTTGATCATCTTGCATGACAGACCACAAACCCAGTAACCGCTTCAGTGCTTATCATTTATCCCCTTTATCTCCAGTGTCATGGATAGCATTGGGGATGGCTCTCTTCACTCCTTCAGGCAAACTTTCCTGGACTTTTTGTGGCAATAAGGATGCATCGCCGCCCTTTGCATATGAGATGCCACCGGATGAGCCAGGCGTAGACTCAGTGGGGTGAATCTGAAGATGTTAGACATGATTTTTTAGAGTGCTCGTAAATAACCTACAGATTCAGGAAGAGCATGTTCGAGTCCCTTGGGCATTCGTCGCTGAACACCTTCAGAGAGTTTGGAAGGGGCTGTGGCGTGAGACATGCCCTGGCCACGCTCGTTCTGTGTATAACCCGACATTCTCAAGTTTGACGATATTGATTGGTAGGAATAACAAATGAGGTATCTCTCTGTTTTTCCTGGTGAAAGATGAGAGTCTTGGCGCTCAGAGGGTTAACCATTATTATACTCTCTTGTTGAAGGACGAGTGAATGATAACGTCATGAATTTTTCATGTAAAGATGACCGTTGAGAATCTCGATAGTAAAATAAGCATTATGATATCGCAACCTTTAAAAATACCTTTCCTCTGACCGTCATGGTCGTCTCATCCTATCAATGTCATGACTTCGCATCTATGACGTAGCGTTTTCATGCTTCCCCACAGTGTAGCCATTGGGAGCAGGAAACTTTTGTCGATCAACTCGGGAAATTTAATGCGCGACTGAATGAGGGAAATATTCCGGATTCAGCACCATGTGAAAGGGTGGTGTTGTAATGCGCTGGAAAGACGAGTCTCAGTGGGAACAGAATTGGTGGATGAGCCTCCCATCGTAGGTAATCTCACTTCATCTGTGTTAAACAAGGCAAAGGATACAAGCACTTATCAGCCCTGCTTCACTGTCCTTCGGCCCCGTAAAAACAAAAACAAAAACAAAAACATCAAGCTATTAATTATATTATCATGGAGGTCATCTCGACTCGAGCATCAAGAAAAAGGACAGGAGATACTAAAATGCAGTGGGGGTGTAGGGTACGTGGATTTGGCCTTGAGACTATAAAAGGAACAGAATAAAAGAACCAGATGAGATAAAATCATATGGAGTTTGAGGACAAAACAATGGGACCTCAAGCTAGCCGCTTATCATCTATTTCTGTCAAGATAGAAAGATAATCGCCCCACATTGCCTGCCTCACAAATTGCGTACCACGTGATTAGGCGTCACCGCGTAGCTCTCAACACGCGTCCCTTCAGGCAGCACTGGAGTCAATTGCCACGAATCACCAAGACTTCTCGGGCCTTCGCTAATCGTCCGTTGTCAATCTTCTTTTACGCGGCACTGTCTTATAAGTCCTGTTTCTATTATATGTTCGGCGTATCGGATCAAAAATGGAGTTGTCCGACGAAGACTTTGACTCTGGAGACGCTCTCTTTGACGACGTTGATGAAGATGACCTCATCTTTGACGAACTCGAAGAGATGGGAGTGATGAACCCGCCCAAGAAGCACGGCAGAGGCAAAGAGAACGACATTCCAGATCAAGCGCCTGCTAAAAAAGCACGACATGGTTCCCTCAGTAGTTCCAATGGCCGACTTGGCGAGACACAACGAATTCAGCTTGCGCGAAAGCTATTGGCGGACAAGTTTGGCTACAAAGAGTTTCGCCATGAGCAAGAGGCTGCAATCGCAAGACTTTTGGATGGCGAGAATGCACTTGCGGTCTTTCCAACAGGCGCCGGAAAGTCACTTTGCTACCAGGTTCGTTTCAACTCTCGTCTCGAGTTCGTCATCGGAACTCATGAACTGATACAAGCAGATTCCCGCAATCGCATTTCCAGAAATGGATCGCCAGACCAAGGAACGACAGACCAATGACTCGGGTATCACTATCGTCGTTTCGCCCCTCATTGCTCTGATGAAGGACCAAGTTGATGCTCTCAAGCGCAGAGGCATTGCGGCGGAATGTATGGACTCCACGAAAAGTTGGAATGAAATCCAGGATATCAACAAGGATCTGCGAGAGGGACAGCTGCGTCTACTATACTGCGCTCCCGAGCGACTCAACAACGAAGGGTTCGTTGAGACGATGAAGCGTGTCAAGGGAGGAGTGAGAATGATTGGCGTTGACGAAGCTCACTGCATCTCCGAGGTATGTCTCTTCTCCATTGACTGAATCCCGATTCCTGACATTGATACAGTGGGGACATTCTTTTCGCCCTGATTACCTGAAAGGTTTGCATTATTGTACCAGCTGAATAGCCCACGCTGACTCAAAACAGTTGCCCGGTTCGTTCAGGAGATCAAGGCCGAGCGAGTCATCTGCCTGACAGCCACCGCTACACCACCTGTCGTCAAAGATATTTGCCAAGCTTTCGACATTGCCGACGAAGGTGTTTTTAGAACATCAGTGTACCGCCCCAAGTAAGTTCTTACGCTACATACCCTGAGAACTTCGCTGACGCCCCCAGCCTGCGACTCGAAGCTGAGGCTGTTAAGGCCAAGGATGACAAGTACGAGCTTCTGTTCAAGTTCTTGAAAGCACACCCCGGCTCAACACTCATCTATACGACTCTCCAAAAGGTTGCTCAGTCTTTGTGTCATCTCGTGATATTTCAGCGCTGATACTTCACGTAGCAAGCCGAAGAGCTGGCGGCGCATCTCACAAAGCAGGGGGTCCCCGCTGCCCACTTCCACGCTGGGATGAAAGTCGATGAGAAGAGAATGATTCAAGATGATTTCATGAGTTCTAGAATCAAAACGGTGGGCTTTACACTCTCCAATGCTGGAGGACGCTACTCACAATGACTCAGGTAGTTGCAACCATTGCATTTGGCATGGGTATCGACAAGTCAGGTTGGTGGAAGTGCTCGCCTCTGTGAGCATATGACTGACGAGGACAGATATTCGAAACATCATCCATTGGGATATCCCGAGCACCGTCGAAGAGTACTGCCAGCAAGTCGGTCGTGCCGGTCGAGACGGCAAACCAAGCTACTGCATGCTTTACCTCTGCCGAGAAGACTTTTGGATCAAAGAGAACTTTGCGCGTGGAGACTTACCATCCCGCAAGTCGTTGCGTAACCTCCTCAAGGAAATCTTCGATGGCGATGTTGTCAAACTGCCGCCCGGCGAAACCTTCAAAGTCAGTCACTACCACCAGTCATCGCAATTCGACATCCGCATGAGTCCCCTGAGTGTAATCTACGCTGCGCTGGAGCTCAGGTTCAATCTCATCCGCGCGACGACACCAGAGTACAGCTCTTACAAGTTCGAAGCACATGGACAATACTACCCCCGTCTCAAGAGCATGAACTCGCCAGAGAGCAAGGCTATTCTGAAGCACGCCAAGAAGGCCAAGAAATTCCACTCGATCGATCCAACGAAGGTCGCCAACGAAGAGGGTTTACGACGGAACGAGATCATCAACCTCCTCAATGATCTCCACAACAGCGGTGCCATCGTACTCACCGTCGGAGGAGTCGAGCAGAAGTACAAAGTGATAGGCAAACTACCAAAGACAGATACAGCAATCGACGATCTCACAGACAAGCTCTACGACGACCTTAAGAGGCGCGAGAAGCAGGCTCTCGATCGACTCAAGGATGTCACCAATTTCATCACAGCCCCCAAATGCTTCGGCCTCTGCATCGCACAGCACTTTGGCATGGATCTCCCGGAGAGCAAGAAGAAGTGCGGACACTGCACGTTTTGTCTCAAGGGTGCTGCCGTGAAGCTGCCGCCATCGCCGCCCAAGCAAGTCGACAAAGCAGCGATCAACAAGGTGCTGATATCAACAGACATCCGAGACGACGCGCGTTTTCTGGCGAGGATTGCGTTTGGGATCAAGAGCCCGCGCGTTGGCAAGTTGAAGTTGGACAGGTCTCCAGCGTTTATGTCAATGGCAGATCACGATTTCGATGTACGTGCGACTATTTGTTTTGACGAACGATACTGACAATTCTATAGGCAATTTTGAAGGAGTTCAAGAAGGCTTGTCGCGAAAAGGATGACTGATTGACTGCTGGAGGCATAAAGTTTCTGTCTACAATCTGTAACGAAGAACATGGCGCTACCCGGGACGGTGTTATTGCAAGTGGTGTTTACTGTAATCAACCGGGCGATGTTCTCCGCGTCTGGGTCTTAATGATGGGAGAAAAATGGGAATATCGGGGCTTTGATGATATCGGGGATTAATGTGGAATGGATCTTGTGTCGCGTACAAAATTGAGGTCGCATGTACATTGGGATCGGACTCGTATCACGCATAAAATGCGAATACAACTGCATGATTCGGAAACTCGACAAGATGGGCCTGGCGTGGAAATGACACGCGTCAGGACAAAGGGTAACACGTGACCATCTGCAAAGACCGGAGCAAAACCCGAGAACAAGTGTCGCTTTTGTTGGCCGTTTTACGTCGCGGGATCGATTTAGTCCTTGAAAGCGCATTTCTCAACGTCCATCTTAGCCCTGTTTGTGGACTGTTTGACCAATTTCTTAGCAGGGCTGACATGGTCTCTGCTTGACGAAAAACGAGATGAGCAATGCAAGGGTGCACTGTTCCCCATCGTGCGATATTGGCAGGGACCTCGTGTAGCAGCCCAAACGCGCATTCGGCATCAAAGACGACGGAATTTTTTGAAACGGGCAGACCGAATGATTTGTTCTAGAAACTCAGTGAGGGTCGGGTCGGGGTGCGCTATTTTCCATCCCGTGTCAAGTAAAGTCAAGTCACTGCGGCGTCGCCTAAAAGGATCCGAATTGCCGGAATGGCGTCATTATAGCAGATGATGTCTGTGAGCATTTGACCAGACATCAAACGATCTCTGAATAGTGTGACTGGAGTTGCATTCACTCTTGTTGCTTTGTTTTTCCCTGTTTGAGGTTTCTTTTTTGTTCTCTCTTTGGGACGTGGTTGTTTATGCGGAATCGTTGCATGCAGGGGAAAAAACAGGAAAATGATGGCGTCAGTGCACTAAAAGGATGACAGGGGAGGCTATAGCGGTTTTGGTGTAGCCCAAGTCCATTTGATCTCAACAGTCAGTCAGTGAACAGACAGACGTTGGATCTCAGGGACCACGGGTACATAACGTTAATTCAATCTATCTCGGACTCGATCTGGGCCCCGACATTTGAGTTTCTTTTGTCCTTTCTATTTTTAAGAGAGATTCAGATCCAATACGAGTGACATCCATGCTCCCTGCGTCCCGTGGGGTACCTACTGTGCTGTCCTCGGGCAATACTGTGCTGTAAGTCCCCGTAGGTCCGCTGTAGCGTGCTATACCTACATTGGACGGAGCAGTTGGTGGGGCGGGTCATGTTTCTACTTGTAACGCTCTAAAATTAAAAAAGGCGCCTT